TGAATATTCTGCCACCCAAGACTTCCAGGATGCACTGACTTAAAAAACAACATCACACGTTTCTCCACATTCCCAGGTGCCTGCAGCCCCGGCCGGTGTGCTCAGTAATCCTCTGCATTGTCTCCAGTGAGCCTCCTCTCCTCTGTTTCCTCTCTCCCCCTCAGCTCCTCTCTTTTCTTTGGGAGGCTTTCTCCTCCTAATTGCTCACACAAGTGGGATCTTTGGGGGTCCACTTCACGGCACACTATCCCAGTTTCATTTTGGACTTTCTCCCTAGCTGTCCCATGCTAACCACACCTCCACAAAAAACAAAACTTGTGTCCATCTTATCTCCATCATTCATGTTTTCTCCATCTCTTCCCCACTCTCTCCTCTTTTTTTTTTTTACTTTCCAGCTCTTTCGTTGCCTATTCACACATTCTTATAGTTAATCGGATTAAGATCTCCGAAAGAGATTTGAACAAGATGATTAGTTTACTGCTCTGCCAACTCCGACTCATAGCGTGCCACACACAAACACAAGCAGTCACACATGGATCCACGGGAACCGCCAGTGTGCTGGACCTGGGAATGATCTCGTGGCAGTGGTTCTTGTACAAAAGAGGTTCAGAAACTGTATAACAGTAGGTGACAGAGAGGGAGTGTGTGCGTGTGTGTGTGTGTGTGTGTGTGTGTGTGTGTGTGTGTGTGTGTGTGTGTGTGTGTGTGTGTCTAGTYTGAGAGAGAGTGAGAGAGTGGGGAGGAGGGAGGGTGCATGTGTGAGAATTAAGTGCTGCTCTTTCATGCCCAGGTCTTCTTAGACACGCAGGGCGTCAAAAGCCCCTCTCACTCTGAAAAGACCCTTTAGAAATGCAGCACTAAGCTCTTAACACTGGAGACCTGACTCTGTCTCTCTCTCACACACACACACACACACACACACACACACACAGATCCTGGGCCACCAGAGGTGAGAAAAACAGTCAAATTAAAAAAAGTTAGAGAAGAGAAAGAAAAAAGTCTGCTGGGACTCTGTCAACTGTGAAACAATATTAAAACAGATAAATCTCTAATTCTGCCTCCTCTCTGTGCATCACAGCCACAATCTACTCATTCAACTGCGTCTCAGCCCTTCAAATGTTAATCCAGTCAAACTCACAACTTAGTTATATTCGACTTTTTGAGTTGTGAAACAACTGAATAAGCATAAAATAGGAATTAGCTTGTGGTTCGTATGGCTCATGTTTAACAAATCTAACACAGTCCAGTATTTGGTGTGTTCCCACGTCAACCAAATCACCATAAAGATCGCAAAGTCATCAGTACTGACAACTTTACTGACATCGAAAATGTGTGACCACAGAGAGGGTTGCAGTTTCTTAACAATACAGCTACACAGTCCCAGCCATGGGATAAGTCAATGTTTTCAAAAAGCTCAATTTACCCAACTGCCCCAAAAAAGGGAGGGCTGTATTTTTAGTATTTCTTTCTCTGGAGAGAAATCTCATATAGCTCAGTTTTTGAGCATGAAAAACAACAGATTAGAGTAGATAGAGGGAGAAAGACGACACATGGAGAGAGTGTTGACAGAGCAGCATGAGGAAAAAGAAGGAAACAAGATTTTCAGTCACTGTACCTGTGAACATTAGGTGGAAATATATAGCCTATATGTAGAGGACAGACATGTTGAAGTGTCCTTGAGCAAGACACTGAACCCCAGACACTGAAGACATGCTCCAGCATCTTTGTGTGTGTGTGTGTGTGTGTGTGTATTGTCATCTATCATCAGATCTGACGATAGATGACAATCTATCATCAGATGCATCAGATACACACACACACACATACATACACACACACAAACACACACATACATACACACACACACACACACACATACACATACATACACACACACACACATACATACACACACACAAACACACACATACACACACACACACACACACACACATACACATACATACACACACACACACATACATACACACACACACATACATACGTACACACACAGGGCTCAGCAGGAGCCTCTTTTAATGAAGCTAACCTCCCAGTTCAGTGGGTTTAGGCGCAGGGGCAGAGGTGAGGGGTTAAATCTTGGGGAAGTCCGAAAACAAGACCAATTTTGGGGAGGAGGAAAGGAAAAGACACAGAGAGGACGATGAAAAGGGGAGATCGAGGGAGAGAAAGCCACAGAAGGGGGAGACCAAAAAGTGGGTGGGTGTGTGAGACGCCCACCAAATGATTTAACTGATCAAATTGAATCAGGTGCCTTGGCGCCAAAGTGAGGAAGAAAATCCACTGTTAAATCTCTGAAAGTCAGTTCCCTGGTTCGATTTAAACTTAGTATTCACCCACTCTCTCCCTCTCTCATTCTCCCTCTCTCTGGTGGTCTGAGGGATGAATAGGGTTTAGAGTTGCCTCCTGCACTTCCTTACGAGCCCTACACTAACTCAAACTGCCGATCACACGTGTACGCAATATGCACGGATTTGGTTGCGTATGTGTTGCTCTCTTGTCGTAGATCACAGGGACAGAGCTACGGGAAAAAAATCAATTTCCAATCATCTCACTGCTTCAGGAGATAAATGTACTTCTCTCACATACACACACAGACACACACACACACAAACACACTACCTCTCTCCGCTCCTGTTGAGCTGAGTGACTATAATTGCAGCGGAGCCGTGTGCTGTATGTTCCCAAGTGAACATGTTAAGTGTGTGAGTAAACACACTCTAGCTTAGATTATTGACTGTGCTCTGTCGTTTACAGTGAGGTATGTGTGCAGCCTTTATGTAGACGTACAAACTGTCAAACTATCAACTCTTCACGTATGACACATTAACACAGTTTGTAGTGATGTCTACATCCGACAGGCAGACATAATGTGTGTGTGTGTGTGTGTGTGTGTGTGTGTGTGTGTGTGTGTGTGTGTGTGTGTGTAGGGTTAAGGAGCACTTTCAGAATATTTGTTTGGNTGTGTGTGTGTGTGTGTGTGTGTAGGGTTAAGGAGCACTTTCAGAATATTTGTTTGGTTTTAGAGTTCCATTGGTTAAAAGAGCACAGCTGCTTTCCAAACCCCCCTGGTCCTGTAAAAACAGTATCAGGATACACTCTGACTTGATTCAGACCAGCCGCCGTGTGTGTGTGTGTTTGTGTGTGCTCACATAAGGAGAAGCACATGCGTGTTTGTGTTGTGTGTGTGCCCGCGTGTAAAAAGCCTCTTTTCATCTGCCTCTGTTTGTAAAGTCTTAGTCCAGGATCACATTTTCTGAACCAAGCATCAGAGAATAAAGGAGCCCAGGTTCACATCTTAAAATACTTTGCATGAGTTATTTATTAGACATTTACATTTTGCATGTACTTAGATGGAATTATGAGCATAAACCAGATTAAGGGGAACATTTGAGATCTTTCATCGCCTGTCGATGTGTCTGCTGAGATTGGCTCTAGCCTTCCATCTGCAACGCTTGCAGGAAAACCAGTACAGACAATACTTTGGATGGATGATTTTTTTTAATAGTCCATATCTAAAGCTGGTACATTAAGTGTAATTGGAAAAAAAGAAAATGTTCCAGAGGTTGGAACTAAAAAACATATTTAACCCATTATCAGAATTGTGGCTTTTATTGATTGTCTATCAATGAATGGCTCCAGGCGTGGATGCTGAAGAGGTGTTTATATTAAGTTTGGATTTCAGTCGGACATGTCCCAGGTAATTAACCTCTCCTATCTTTCCTAGTCTTCTGAACACCTCACTCTATAATTTTCCTGTAGTTTTAGAAACAAATGATCACAGGTTTAGATGCAGCAGGTGGAAATGCAGGTGATAGACGATACGATGCTGATTATATGATCACAGCCGCAGGAATGTGAGGAATGTGGCTGGGCATTAGCCGTTAGCCGATTTGCCTTGTGGAGGTCACTGCGACACAGTTGGGGTCAAGAGCTGGAAGGTCGGTGGTGAAAGGTCAAATAGTCTGTCTGGAACCAAGGTCTGTGTCAGCGGTAGACAATACACACACACACAGACACACACACACACACACACACACACACACACTCACACTATCTTTCCTTTTTCCATATAAGATGTTTCTCTGAAGTTGAGATGATGAGACGATAAAGTCTGATTTATTCAGTACCTGCATTTTACATCCCGTAATACATCTACATCCTGCAGACAGCTGAATCATTCTTGTGTGTGTGTGTGTGTGTGTGTCCTTCACTAAATCAAGTTGCTGTACCAACCAGTGACAGCATGTGTTTCACTTGGCAGCAGATTTGATCTATGTGAGACACCTGGTCGTGCATGTGACTATATTTATGTACGAATGTGAGAGTGCGTGTGCGAGAACATGCATTAGCACACGTGTGTATATGTGTGTCAGTCACTGCCGTAAATGTATCGGTTTGTTTTTGTTTAGTTTTTTTTACTGTATCCCAAGCTGCAGATTAGTTAAAGTGGCTGAACGCTAAATCTCTGTAAACCCCAGTGATCATACTCTCACACACACACACACACACACTCATCCATCACTCACTCCTTAAAAGCAGAGGAAGGTGGTGGCGGGGGTGATGGAGAGATGAGTGGGAGTAATGAGAGGAGGAACAGAATGCTGGGAAGCGGAGGTCACTAGTGCCCCCTACAGGTTCTTTAATAATTCAAACCCTCTTATTACTGACTTGGATGGATGCTCAGAGCAGACAATTGAATTGCGTCTGGCTCCAGCTACGTGGACACTTGTCGGGAAGTATTTTTTTTGTGTGTCACCTAGAGATGAATAGAGACAACTCATTATATTTGGCGAAGGAGTGCTCTGTGTGCAAAGAACTCAATTTTGCAGATGATCCGTCTGGCTCTGAAGTTCCCTCGGTGCATTTTGAAGATTACATCAAGTACTTGTGCTGCAACGCAAGTGGCTTGGTGACAGCTTGGCTTAACTCTCTGCCACCTTCCCCTCCTTCTTCTCTACATCTCTCTATCTGTCCAGTGATCTCAGCGAGAACCAGATCCAGGGGGTTCCAAGGAAAGCCTTCAGGGGAGCTGTGGAGATCAAGAACCTGTAAGTGGCATCATGCGTGTGTGTGTGTGTGTGTGTGTGTGTGTGTGTGTGTGTGTGTGTTTGCGCGTGTGCAAATCTGTGTCTCGCTCTTCCATGTTTGCAAATGCGCACAACCCCTGTGTGGCTGTGCATCAATATTTCATTGTGTTAAATGTCATGTGCCTCCTGTTTGCTGTATTGACTGGCACTACTGCTCATTAGCAGCCCTGTGTGTGTGTGTGTGTGTGTGTGTGTATGCAATGGACGTCAGTAGCATTTGTGTTGTTTTTCTCCTTGCTTTGCCTCAGTCATGGTTCTGATGATTGAAGATAATTGTTGGTCATTTTGCAGGTAATTGCCCAGCAGTAATTCTATAAATATGGATTTTTTTAAACTATTTTGCTGCATCCTGGGTGTTTTTTCCTCAGATAATTTATTTTGAAATGCCTTGCAATTATTGTAAGAGGACATGTGTGTGTGTTTGTGTTTGTGGGGCAGGGAGTGGTGGTTTTACTACATTCATGTGGCCCTTTATATTGGTGTAAATGGTTTGAATTTAGGGGTAGAATTAGGTGAAGGTTAAGGATTAGGCTTGAAATTTTTGGAGTTATGGTCAGGGGCTAGAGAATGCATTTTGCCAATGAAGGGTCCTCGAAGAATATTTTAAGACAAGGTGGTGTGTGTGTGTGGGTTTGTGTGTGTGTGTGTGTGTGTATATGTGTGTGTGTGTGTGTGTCCCTTAGCACACATTAGCATGCGGGTGACAGAACATGATTTACTGTCCTTATGTCTTAATTAAATTGTTTCAGCAAAGCGATTCTGAGAAGGGGGGGGGGGGCGAAAGAGGTAAAGAGCAGCGCATACAAATGAGACGTCAGATTGAGGAGAGCAGGACGAGGGAATGGATCCAGAGATAAATACATGGAGAGTTACAGCTGCAGAAAGAACAAAGAGCTCAGGAGACAGAACTAAAGCAGAGGAGAAAGTGAACGAGTGTGAGGGAGGTGGCGAGACGTTCTTGTGGCTTTGTTCGGCCGAGTTGATGCATATTCATCTGTAGCTTGCTGTGCTATAAGACACACCTTTACATCTTTACTTCTTTTTTTCTTTCTTTCTTGTGTGTGTGTCTACAGCCAGTTGGACTACAACCACATCAGCTGTATTGAGGATGGAGCTTTCCGAGCGTTGCGTGACCTGGAAGTGCTGTGAGTACCTGTTTATTCAGTTGTCCCGCTGTAACGGCAGAGGAGGGGAGGATGAAGAACACTAACAGCGGTGGGATATGGAGCAGCTAATATCCTCGTTGACCTTTAAAAGACTGCATTGCCTGTGCAGCTCTTGGAAACTGGACGCTTTCATGTATAAATTCAGATATTACACTTAAATGCATGGCTCTGTGGCACCACCGCCATTATATATAGTTCATTAACAAGGTCACCATGTCATTAGTGACACTGAACAGACGTCTATTCTGTCCTAAAGTCAGTAATGATGATGGTCTTAATGACAGATATGGATTTTCATCATATTGTGATGTTAGTGCAGGTCGCTTTAATTCAGGTCCGTTTTTTAGATGCAGAGTTTTGTTCGCTGTTAATTAACTACCAACAACATTTTACTGTATAATATTATACTGTAAAGGCTGAGCAGAGTTACAAGCCAGGTCGACTTCACTGACACCAACATATGTTAACATGAATTGTTCCACTGTTCATTCAGAAATGCTTGTTCTCGTTAGGTAACCAGAAACACTGGGGACAGGCACAAGGAAGATAAGAAGCTGAACTGTAGGAGGAAGAGAAAAACACTTATTGTAGTTAACAAAGCAATACTTGGAGATGGGGCCTTGGCACATTAAAGGGCGTGTGAATAAATGGCACAAAAAAGCAAATCATTTCAACGTGGCTCAATTAAACTGTACCACAATCACTTCTGGACGTATTTCAGGATGTCTACCGGAATGTTTGCTGCAGCAGCTGGCACCAAGGTCACAGGTTCTTCTTGAGAATTTAATTTGATCAAAGTCCCATTTATTTGGAAACTGTCCCAGTTGTGCACATTTGGTTCTTTCATTTTCTTCAACAGGAGTTTCGTCACCTGTTGCTTGATCCTAGTTTCAAGTAGGCTACATCATATCAAAGTAAAAAATAACTGTGAGCAAAGGCTAAAGACAAATATATTAAATAAGTCGACAAATAAACTTTTTGTCTGACTGGATAGATGAGGAAGTGGTTTTTCTACTATACTGCTTAAAATAACATGCACTCTTATTAGTTAGATGTCGGAAGCGAAAACTTGGAAAAGTCGATGTTGGTCAGATGTTTACTTCTGCGTTGAATCAACACCAACGTCTGTGATTGGTCGGCTTGGCAGCATGTCTCTTGCATGTCTGTGTATGTCCGCACGAGTAGGACTCACCTGTCTCCTGCCTCAATCAGTTCAGTGGTCATTTTATCACCTCTCTTTTCTGCATTGCAGTAATTCCAGTTAAAGTAACCATTGTTCAACATTTATTAGCCTCTGCGTCGATTCTGCGTAGAAAGGCATAAGTCGCTTCTCTATTTCTGTGTGCAACAACCTTGTGATTTCCAAAAAGGCATCACTGAATCTAAGTGGGAAGCTGTTTTCTGATCTTTTCTCTCCTCAGCACCCTCAACAACAACAACATCAGCCGACTGTCTGTGGCCAGTTTCAACCACATGCCAAAGCTCAGGACCTTGTAAGTGGCACCACGGAGTATTTGGTTTACTGTGGTTTCCTCCACTCCCGCTCCCCTTCCTCAAATATATCATCCCTCCATCCCTCACCACCTGGTCTAAACACTTGTCGACCCCCTCTTCTCCCCATCCCCTCTCATCCCTCCGCCTCCTCTTCTCCTCCTCCTCCTCCTCTCTCCCCCCAGTCGCCTGCACTCCAACAACCTGCAGTGTGACTGTCACGTGGCCTGGCTGTCCGATTGGCTGCGACAACGCCCCCGTCTGGGTCTTTACACGCAATGCATGGCCCCGCCACACTTGAGGGGACACAACGTGGCAGAGGTGCAGAAGAAGGAGTTTGTCTGCACAGGTAAGGGAGGTGATGATGTGCTGATGTGTGGACTGATGTGTTCTTTGCTTCTTGACTTACGTCCGCTTGCTGTTTGACTGTGGCAAAAACCATCCTTTGCTTTGTTTCGTTTGCTTTTTTCTCACTGTCTCTTGCTCATGCTTTTCAAGATGAAGAAGAAGGCAAGTACTCATCTTCCATTTCTTGGCATTGCATCAACCTTGCATTTGCTGAAATATGAACTGATTTATCTTGCATATTTTAGATAAAAGAGCAGCTAATGCAAGAGTACAAATGATACTTTTGACAGGCGAGGACGCTGTCACATTTAAGGAAAGCATCTCTCTCTCACCTGCCCACTTGCTATGCTCTGACTGCTGCTTCACACTTTGATTTTCCTCCTTCGCCTCTGGGATTCACATCAACCATCACCTGTTATCCATGGATATCATTGGCCCTTTGTCTCTGTGTAGGTCACCAGTCGTCATCGTCCTCGTCCTGCAGTGTGTTACAGTGCCCGGAGTCGTGCACCTGCAGTAACAACATTGTGGACTGCAGAGGGAAGGGACTGACAGAAATACCCACCAACCTGCCTGAAACCATTACTGAGATGTAAGACACGCACTCAATAACGACGCACACCTCTTTCCTACTCTCCATGCATATACATGTGTTCCTGCACAAAAACTCCTGTACTCACAGTCGGTGCGGTGATATTTCTCTTGTTCTTTCACCGCGCATTTCTCCGTCTCCTCTTCTTTTGTCTCTCTCCACCTCACTTCTCTCTTTCTGTGCAGTAGAATAAAACCACACGTCTGTGAAATGAGAAAGCCTGGTCATGCAGCTCTTCCCTGCTTAAGAAAATAATAAAGGGATGAGGGAGGAAGATTCAAAGGATTAATCTGAAGGACAAGAAAGATCATATCTCTATTTAAAGGGAGCATCAAGAGGAGAGGGAGGATCACAGCCAGCATGTTTAAAATGACAATGTATCAGGCAGAGCTATAGACCTGAGACTTAAGATTTAAAGGGATACATCACCCAAAAATGAAAATTCACTCATTATCTACTCACCACTATGTCGATGGAGGGGTGGGTGAAGTGTTTAAGTCCACAAAGCACTTCCGGAGTTTAAGGGGTAAACAGTCATTGGTGACCGATTCTTTAAATGTAAAATAATGAAATGCCTCCATTCTGATTCTGTGGTGTCATCCAAGTGTCCGAAAGCCCCGGCATTCAATTTTTACTCCAAATGGTGTCCTTTACACCATGTTTTTAGCCTAAATGTCCTCTGATGTCCTCCTCCTAGTTACTGCTGTCCTCGTGAGTATCTATTGTCTTTTTACGTTTGAAGAATTGATCACCATTTACTTCAATTGTATTGGATTTGGCTGCAACACTGTACAGAATTGAACAACAGGAGAAGAAAAAGACGCAGAATTGGTCAGACGCACACCCGTCTTCCAACCAATCAATGTTAAATATAGGTAAATGCAGCCTATGTACAGGATGTACATGTCATTTAAAAGTCTTAGGTCTACTCCCTAAATCTCAACGTGAAACTAAAGCTAATATAAACAATGCAACAAAGAAAACAAAGAAATGGTGCAAACTGTGTGATAAACGCCATGTTACACTTGAGATTGATTTTAAACCAGCTACAACATGGTTTAGGACATGACCTCGACTTGAGTCTTGACCTTAATACCTGCCGTGACTTTAGAGATGAATTAAAACTGGGGTTGATTCATTTGAGACCAGAGACGTGTGTCTTGTCTTCACTGACTTTAGAGTTGGCTTGAGACTGTTACTGTGACAGGACTTTGCAGTGACTTGGACAAGTGTGGTTACAGGAGACAATCGTGTTGAAACCTGCTTTGTAAAGACTTGACTCAACGGAGGGAAGGGTCGAGCTGAACAGAGAACGGCAAACAAACTCATTTTAGGGAAATGCTTCACAATCAAGTGCTTGGTTTGCAAATCATGTTCCGCCGCCTTTCTTGTCACGGTGACTAAACATGTGAAATGTTTAGAGAGCGTTTGTTTTGGTCTGTTCTCCCTTTTGTATCCCCCCCCCCCCCTTCTCTCTCTCCCTTGCTCTCTCCATCACTCTCTCTCTCTTGGCTTGATTTGTTTGGGCCTGACTGACGCGGAGTCTGACTGGCACTTAATGGAACACTGCCCAGATAGTTACGTGTGTGTGTGTGTGTGTGTGTGTGTGTGAGTGTGTGACTGTACAAATGTTGAAAAGGGCAAAAGATCAGAGAAATGTGACAGACTTTGGCAGCGGTCATCAAAGCTTCTTATCTGGAAATGTTCCCCTCGGCCAGAGGCCCCGGGAACGAGCCGCAGTCAGCGATACAGCAGAGATAGCTCTGTGATAGGGGAATGTTAATGTCTTTCCTCAATGGTCTGTGTGTGTGTGTGTGTGTTTGTTCCAGCCGACTGGAGCAGAACGCCATCAAGGTGATCCCAGCTGGAGCCTTTTCTCCTTATAAGAAGCTGCGCAGGATGTGAGTAGATGAAGAGACACGTGTATTGTTCAGCCTGTCAACTGTCCACAACAACTTCTGTTCCTGTCCAGTTTGTGTCTGTTGTTGTGCTTTGTGTTTCACTCAGTGTGTCGTTCTCTCCGTCACTGACTCTGTGTCTCTCTCTTTCTCATTTTTTTTTTCTTCTGCTCTCTTCTTCTCAGAGATTTGAGTAACAACCAGATATCGGAGCTGGCCGCAGACGCCTTCCAAGGTCTGCGCTCCCTCAACTCTCTGTGAGTACAGCGTGATATGTTTGTCTTTACAGCAAGAAGCAGTTTACACAAAACTGACTAAGTATCGCAATACAACCCTTTGAATCTCATAAGGAAAATCAAAAGGTTTTTGTTTATCACATTATCATAACAGCATCACGACAACACAACGAGAAGACAGGGCAACATACACAACCAGTAACACAAACAGCTTTTAGAGGTGAAGGCATATGATCCTATTATTAGTTTGGAATAATATTGTAATATTCATTCATCCTAGAAGTGTCTATGTTTACTCCTGCTGACAACACTACTCTATTTTGCAAACGCTGATGACCCAAGTTTGCAAACTCCAAGGTTGCACTGTAGCCTGGACGGACAAAACCTGAGACATTTGGAAACCATAATGCAGTCGCCTGCATTCACCTCCTAATTGGTTCTTATCAGTCACGACTCAACTACCAGCAGTGATGGCAAAACGTTGTAAACACTGTCTGTAACAGTTCCATCTTAATGGCGAGAAAAGAAATTCCTCAACTTCCTTTTCTCCGTTGTTTCTTCTCGTTCAGTGTTTCCTGTGGTGCTGTAAATTGCTGATGATGTTTCTAATCTGTCATTATCATCGCTGGGACAAAGAAAATCAGAAGCATTGTCTTCGTTGTGTATCAGTGTTTTTAAGGCATTACATATTACTATTCTGTATACCTATGCTTATTCTTCTTCTTCCGTACAAAATTTCGTCCCACTACTCCTAGAACAAATAAAGTGATGTCCAAGATACCAGTCCCACAATGCAGTGCTTCATATTTTACAGAGGAGTTAATGCAAAATGAAAATGAAAAATGAATGTGTTCCTTCCCTCAAATTCATTGCTTAGGAACCATTCGCAAGCACATCTGACTACTTGTATTTTTGCCCTGTTGGACTTCATTTATAATTTTTTTGGAAAGAAATAATGGCCAAAATTGTACAGCCAAATCTACGAAATTAATAAAACTATAAATATCCTTTAATTTGAGCACATTTGCAGTATGAGCCAGAACACCACTTTCAAACCATTTTAAATGCACTTTTGGCATCTAACTCCTCAGCTTGACTTTCTGGTCAGTCCGTTGGCTTTGCGTGTGAAGCTTTGTGCAGGAAGACTAAGAGAGGGAGCAGAAGAGAGAGGGAGAGAAAGAGGGAGAGAGAGATGCAGAGTTATTTCATGAAGTTATATTAAGGTCTCGTCTCTCCAAAGTCAATAATTCATAAATGCTGAATTGCTGAATGGTGGCTTTTGCCACCTCATTACACATTCACCACAGAGAGAATGGGACACACACATTCATGCTGACACACCACATACAGTATGGTTTTCACATTAAGCTGCATCATGTGCTCGTTGTGTATCAGTGTTTTAGTTTGAAAGGATGTAAATGAGCCTGTGTGTGTATCTACACATGTATGTTTGTTCACACGCTTGTGTTCTGATCCAACTGTGGACTTCCCAGTCTTTACAACAGGAAACATTTCGGATGTCCACTCTTGTTCGCTCCTTGAACAAGCTGTAATGATTTCTCCATTTTGATATTATTCTTGGTTTGTAGCCAAGAGTTTACCTCGAGGTGTCTGATGTTAAAGTTCATACTCAGTACTGCCTCTGCATCGCTAACAGAGATTATAATGACTCCCTCACACACGTTATTTGTTCACACTGCTCCAAAGTGTCGGCGGCTGCACGGCTCAGGGAGGCCTGCATGGGCACCGGCGCTGCGGAGGCACACTGGTTTATGAGATGGAAAACCACAAGCAGCTGAGGTTTTTACTGAAACACGAAGCTGCAATCGAGTTTTTAAAAATGTTGGAAGATTTTTGCAACTATAACAAAATACTAGTACTAAAAATTTATTAGCTCTTTTTATTGTCCTTTTAAAAAAGACTCTATGTAGCGGTTTATGCTAGTGGGTGTGTGTGTGGCGGGGGGGGAGCAGAACGGTACGTGCTAATGGCTGATGTGTGCGAGAGACAAATGAATCGTTCACTCCCCACATCGTGTGTTTCCCAACCTCAGGTCTCTCAGGGACAGCCACTCAGCACAATGAAATAAAAGCCAATCTGAAACACATGTCTTTAGACTGCCTACATATACAACTCAACTCAGCGTGGAGCGTAAAGATGAACGATAACTCTGCCTGTGTGTGTGTGTGTGTTTGTGTGTGTGAGTGTGTTTGCGACTAAGGTATTTGTTGGGCCAGGCAGTGGCAGCCTCGACCGTGACCTGTTTGTGTATGTAATCTGATGTATTTATAAAAAAGCATTGCTCTGATAACAGTGTACATTCCTCACACTGCAGCCACAGCAGGATTTATGTGGGAATTTGTTCATTTTGACGTTTCGATGAAAAGTGTTCACAACACGTTATTCTTCATATCCTGAGTGTTTACATGCAGCCAGGTGTTGGAACAAAGTCAGAGTCAGTGTTTGTGCTGCTATCGTTTTAACCCAAGAGGGTCTTATCTCATTCTTGATCACGATCTTATCCTTTATATTTATATTTCTTACAAATCGTTATATATAATTTATTTTATATATCATAGTATTTTTAACGGTCTTATTTTTATGCTGCGTTTGTGTAATACCTGCAGCAGTTGGACGAACTGTAAAACCTCCCATTAGTCTAATTTGGTCAAATTCAGCTCTCATTTCCAAGATGGTTTCACCCATCATTAAATGAGAAGTCACATCGGATAAATTGCTGAAGTCTGATATTTTTATCGTGTTACGTATTTGTGTATGCAGTGGTGGAAAGTAATTAAGTTTTATGAATGTTTATATTACAGCTTAATTTGGTTTCAAACTGATTAATGAAGGCTTTGCAGACAGTTTGCTCCAGATTTGGACACTTGTGTGTTTTGCTGAGATATTGGAGCTGTCAGACATTTGAGATAACTCAGTAACTTTTCCCACAGGCTGCTTATAATTAATGTCTGTTACATGAACGCAGCCTTTGTCACTGGAACACTGTCAAACACCTTTTTTAACCACTAACAAAATATAAATTTTATCTTATAATTGATTCATCTCTATCATAGTAAATATTCATCTTGCCTGGAAGTTGGACAATAACCCCCCAGAATACTGTTTGCCCTGGATATGTTGAGTGTTAATATTAATATAGTATCATTGTGTAATGTAAGTGGATTTATTCATGACTTATTAATGCAGTGTTTGTTCTCCACAGGGTTCTATATGGGAACAAAATCACTGAGATCTCCAAAGGACTGTTTGAGGGACTATTTTCTCTACAGCTATTGTGAGTAGACACACACACACACATACACAAGTTAGTTGAAGCTGAGACTTCATAGCTTTGGCTCATTGATATTCTGATTGAGAGTGCTTAGCTAAAACATTGTCATCAGAGTGGAGACATCATGGTTAAAAGCCATCATCACCGACCTGTAACATTTGAAACGCTCATGCAAGAACAATAACAGGACAAACCTTCATCCTCCATCTCTTTCTTTCTGTCTTTCTTTCTCTCTCTGTCACTTCCATCTTTCAGGTTACTGAATGCCAATAAGATAGCGTGTCTGCGAGTGGATGCATTTCAGGACCTCCACAACCTCAATCTGCTCTCGCTCTATGACAACAAGCTCCAGACCATCGCCAAGGGAACTTTCTCCTCGCTAAGAGCCATTCAAACACTGTACGTACACAAACACACATACACACAGATCAGTTGAAAGCAATCATCCTGAGTCAGCAACTGTGATATAAGTGATACATATCCATCCATCCATCCATTATCTATACTGCTCATCTATTGAGGGTCGTGGGGGAGCTGGAGCCAATCCCAGCTGACATTGGGTGAGAGGCGGGGGACACCCTGTATCTCAAGGCTGACATAAAGAGACCAACAACCAATCACGCTCACATTCTAAGTCTCCAATTGATCTATCCCCAATCTGCATGTCGCACATCAACTGGGTTATGGCCTCCTTGTCCTCGTGTTTTGGAGTTCTTGGAAAAGTATCCATCAGTTGTTGCTGAGAAAACCCACACAGACATGAGGAGAACAGGCAAACTCCACACAGGAAGACAAACAAATATGTTTTAAAATTACCATCCATATGTTTTTTTATAGATTTATTTTGTCTAACTCATAGATTAGTTTAGTTTCACTTGTGAGTTACCTGGTAACAGAATGTATAGTAGAAGTATTGTTGCTGTGTTACCAGCAAATAAATATACCCAGGACATTGCTTTACAATCGTCTTTATTGTTATAACTATGGCATATTTTGTTATAACAGCTTATGTGTGTCTTTTTGTGTGGTCTGTGTCTCGTGTGTGATGTGTGTGTTGGATCAGTCACTTAGCCCAGAACCCGTTTATCTGTGACTGCCATCTGAAGTGGCTGGCTGACTACCTGCAGGACAATCCCATCGAGACCAGCGGTGCTCGCTGCACCAGCCCGCGACGGCTCGCCAACAAACGAATCGGACAAATCAAGAGCAAGAAGTTCCGCTGCTCAGGTATAAATGCACACGCTCACACGCATGCACCACCTTATATACACACACCAGTTCTTTTTTTCTTACTATCCACACAAACACATGGATTGATGTTGAGTACAATATCCTCTCCTGTGTTTTCATTTTGTGTTTTCCTGCTGAGAATTTCCCTCGGCCTCTCTTTACTAACCTCAACTCCCTGCTTTCAGTATTTTCTGGCATCTCCCTAAAATTGTTACACACACACACACACACACACACACACACACACACACACACACACACAAACACACACACACACACAGTACTTTCGTCTATAGTCCAGCCTTTTGTTCTCATGTTGTTTTTCACTTATAATCTCTCTGTCTCTCCATTAGCTAGAGAACAGTATTTCATTCCAGGTATTGTACACTGAGCATGTGTGTGTGTCTGAGAGTGTGTGTGTAATACACATTTTGTTCACTCATGGTGCACGGTTGCTGCCCACGCGCACACTCTTGACACTAGGAGTGACTTGCCTTGACTGACACCTTGTGAATGCTGAAACATTTTCTTTTAATGAACTGCTGTACATCATTATGCATCACGTCCAACCAGGCAGCAGATAATCACGCTCTCGTCCTTGCACCGGCTTTTTGATGGTAACCGTAACCTTGACGATGGAGCAGGGGTTGGGAACCTGTTTCCTATCAAGGGCCATTTCAGTTTTTATAACATCCTTCGCAGGCCGTTCTAAATTATTCAACACATATTTCATACTAACCTCTGTAATGCGACGGCTGGAACTGCTTCTCTTGACTTCTGATGTCAGACGGAAGTGAGGACGATGATGATGATGATGATGATGATGATGATGATGACACATTCAGTGCCATGCACGCCTTGCAAAGAAAATAATTCCTGGAAAAACTGGAAACTTCTTGTGTTGTCCATCATTGTTTTTTCAATATTTTGTGCCATACCAGTAAATGACTAGATTTGTTAAGTCAAACTTTACACTTCCTGTTTGAGCAGCGCCACAGTGGCAGTAAGGTTGTGTTCACTAAATCTCACTCTGTTTCAGAGGTTTCTGCTTGTTAGTAATTAGCTTTCTCACCAGAATGTGGTCTTGTGACAACTGCTTGTTGGACACACCAACTCCGAGCAATAACTTTACCCAAAGTCACTCGTCCTTGCAACTCATCCAGTTAAGCTGCATGTTTCTGGTTGCATTTTCTCGCTGTCTCAATGCTTTAGATTGGATTTTCATCACTGTAAACACGTCCCTCAAAGTCTTTTACTCACGACATTCTACATCTACTTTTCTTGACAGTCGCCCTGATGCTTGTCCGTGATGAAGTGTGACGGCCACACTTTTCTAGTATTGATTCAGGGGCCTGATCAAATGCTCCCCTCGGGTATATATATGGCCCAGAGACTGGAGGTTACCCACTACTGCGATAGCTCAGGTCGCTGTCAATTGGATACTGAACATGCAAAACTCTGTATGAATGAATGTATATTGGTATAGATTACATATATATAGAGAGAGAGATTACAGTGACTATATTCAACACTCCCCGCCTTGTTTCTTAGCACATTTAATGATAGCTAATGCATGAGCGTGTGTCCGCGAGCATCTGTCTGTTTCGCCCACTACAGAACATCAAAAGGTCACACTGTTACCATGCTCAGAGGGGTGCTGTAAAATATGTAAATCAGACATGCATATGAGATCAGTAGCAGGGCTAAAGGCGGTCATTACCACAGCAGCACACAGAGAAGGCATGGTGTGTGCGTTTGTGTGTATATGTGTGTGTGTTTGCACAGTCATTAACTCTGAAACTCACCAGGGGGACAGAGGTTTCAAAGCCCTGATACCACATATGGGGCAAAGCTGAATAATTTACGATCATTTGCAGCTTAAAAGTTGAATAAACATATCTCGCATTCTGTGATACAACCTTGGTAACAGGCCTTAGATTAATTTAACTAAAATTATGTCGTGTAATTTTTAAATATCTCCCTCTAACCAAATAGTCTTGGTCGTGTGAATGAATCTTCCGAAGTGATTGATGTAAAAGAAATGCACAAAACAAAATTATGCCACTATTATATTGAGGAATGAGAACTGTTCCGTTCATCCCTGTGGTTTAATTTGTGCGCTTTTTGTCACATCACGATCCCCCCCAAAATAAATTTGCATCAGTCGTTTTTCACGTGAACGAGGCCGGGGATGTGTGTCGGAGGAAAGTACCCAGCACCCTATGTCATCTTGCGCCAGCACGCTTCTCACCATTCACAACTCATTAGGTCTTTAAATGAACCTCTGCCCGGGGACTCAACTCGAAGAAAATTGCAGCGTCTTTTTATGAGTTTTCATCATTTTCTCTCCTGTTATAATAAACGAGTGAAATCCCTTCTTCTTTCTCCTACTGCCTCTCTCACACACTCAAGGAGTACACCATGTCGGCTGTAAGTAAGACACACACACACAAGCACACGTGGTTCCACCGTCAACTTCCGAATCCCTCACCTCTCGTCCCTGAGCTGGCCTCTGACCTTTGACCTCTACCACAGTGACCTTGAACCCTCCTGTAACCCCTCGTGTCTGTTTGCAAACTACATATGAATTTTACACTTGAGCACATAATGGTTCTTGTATTTCTGTCTTTGTGTGTGTGAGATTGTGTGTGTGTGTGTGTGTGTGTGTGTGTGTGTGTGTGTGTGTGTGTGTGTGTGTGTTCCTCGAAGTCAGGGCTTCTCTTGCCTTCAGTGCTGCTGTAACTCTCCTCCCACTGCTCCTGCTCTCCTGTGATGTGTCTGAGTGTAGAAAATGTCTTTAGATGTTCCTCGTCTCTCCTCTTTTTTTATCCCTCCTTCTCCTGCTCTTTCTTGATCACTTTACTGTACATACATGCCCATCTAATCTTATCCTCCTCTGATCCTCCTCTCCCCGCTCTGCTCATTTCAATAGATCCATTTTATAAAGTCAACCACCTGTCTGTTCCTCGCTCTCTTTTCATCCTTCATCTTACATCTTTCCTCCTAGGATTCATCTTCTGTTATCCTCATCTTTTCCTTTTTCTCTCTTACTGCTCTCCTACCCTCCTCTCTCCTCCCTCTTCTGCCCACAGCCTAATTTTCTCCTCCTCTTCTCTTTTCCCATTCCCTCCTCTTCTCTAGCCCGACTCACCTTCTCTCATCTACTTGCTCTCCTCTCATGTCCTCCCCTCTTATTCTTTCCTTCTCATCCTCTCATTTCCTCCTTTCCTACCCTTCATCTCCTCCTTTCACCTTCTTCAATCCTCAGCTTCTCAAAGCTTGTTCTCCTACCTGAAGCCTCCCCTGATGTTGCACCTCTCTTCTCCTCTTCCGGTCCTCATCCTCCTCGTCCTCTTCCTCCTCTCCCCTCTATCCTTCCCATCCCTGTGTTCCAGCGGAGGAGCAGTCAGTCAGCAGGTTGTTCCGTTGTGCTTGATCTAACCATGTGGCTGCCAGGTTCCGATAGTGGAACATGGTTCTGTCAAGCACCATGGAACGGCCCTGCGATACCCTGCAGCATGGCCAAGACACAAGAGACAGCAATCTCCCCTCACCCCAGCAACCTCTGTGTGTGTGTCTGTGTGTGTAAGAGAGAGAGAGTGTGTCTGTGTGTGTGTGTGTGTGTGTGTGTGCGCACAGTTTGATAGATGACTACTTGGGTGTGTGTAAGCATTTTTCCGCTGTGATTGAATTTTTGATGCTCTTCTGTTTGTGTTGTGGTTCCTAACACTAACAGTCACTTTGCCGTCTGACAGGACAGAGAAACTCCAGTGTTTGTTCTCGTGTGTGTGTGCCTGTATACATGTCTCCATCTTGACAGTTTGTATGTCTTGTGGACTTGGCTGCCTGAAGCTCATGAGTAATGTTGCATATGATCATAATCAGCAATGTTTTTCGAACATCTTTGGTTCATTTGGAAAAACACCCACCCCCCCGCTCCCGACCAAAAGCAGCACAGCCTGTCTGCAATGTCTCAAAATTCCCTTGTTGTGTCACGACCTTAACTTTGGCCGCCCGCAGAGTTTGTGTTGGAAGCCGTACCAGTAAATGCTGGGACCGGGATTGTTTACGTGGTGAGGGCGTGCAGTGACACTGTGGCTGTGATTGTGACCAGGTACTGAGGATTACCGCAGCAAGCTCGGAGCCGACTGCTTCGCCGACTTGGCCTGCCCCGAGAAGTGTCGCTGCGAGGGCACCACGGTCGACTGCTCCAACCAGAAACTCATCAAAATACCAGATCACATTCCTCAGTACACCGCAGAACTGTGAGTCAAGCTGGATTTGTGTCGCATAAAAGCATATCTGTGTGTCGGCCTTCATCTTCTCCTCCTCTGTCTGTATTTATTCGATTGTTCTCTCTCTCTTTGTCTCGGACCACCTCCTCTCTCCTCTGTTCTCAGGCGTCTCAACAACAATGAATTCACTGTGCTGGAGGCGACGGGGATCTTCAAGAAGTTGCCTCAGCTGAGGAAGATGTGAGTCAGACGTGTTGTAAACGTAACATGTGGTTGTGTGAAAGTCAAACTCAGGTCAAACTATGATTGTACACATGAAATGAAAGTGAACCATTTGTGTAGTGAACTCACTGCTCCCATCTTTATGTTTCCCTCTTGCTGCCTTTGTCCTCATCTCGTCCTCTCTACTTCTTTCTTCTCTCTCTCTCTCGTTGTCACTCTTTTTATCCTCACTACACCTTTCTTGCTCCTGCCTCCCACTCCCTGCAGTAACCTGAGCAATAACCGTATCACTGACATAGAGGAGGGGACATTTGAAGGAGCCTCAGGGGTCAACGAGTTGATTCTAACCTCCAACAAACTGGAGAACGTACACCACCGCATGCTGAAGGGACTGAGTGGCCTCCGCACACTGTGGGTACACACACAAAATGCATATGTAATCTAGTTATCATGTCATGTATGCATAATATTCAGATACACTGCACTCTTGTAAACACAAATATAAAAACGTGAACTCAGGTTTACAATCCATTAGAGAGTATAAGGGCCATGTTGAAGAACAAAACGGAGAAGATTTTTGAGAATAGGTCATTATATAACGAGAAACTGTAATATAATAATATGAGAATATTATAGAAATATTGAGAAACTTTTTTTAAGGAAATAAGCTGCAAATGTCTTACCACCGATTTAACTTTTATCTCATAAAAGTACAACTTCATTCTTGAAAAATGAAATAGACATTTTCATAAAACTTTTTTGCAAAAATTCAGTTGTTAAATTATGAGTTTTTTCTTGTAACATTGTGACTTTATTCTCAAAATCTTATAATTTTTACCAACATGGCACTAATACTCTAAATATCTGTTTTTTTTGTATAATTAATCATGTTTTGTGTGTGTGTGTGTGTGTGTGTGTGTGTGTGTGTGTGTGTGTGTGTGTGTGTGCGAGTAGCATGCTGAGGAGCAATCGTCTCAGCTGTGTGAGTAACAGCAGCTTCGTGGGGTTGAGCTCGGTGCGTCTCCTGTCACTCTATGACAACCAGATCACCTCTATGAACCCTGGAGCCTTTGACACACTGCACTCCCTGTCCACGCTGTGAGTACACTCATACTAATGTAGGAAAATATAGTGGCACACAATGTGTTTCTAAAAACTCCTCTGTGTTCTGCAGAAATCTTCTGGCCAATCCCTTCAACTGTAACTGTCACCTGGCTTGGCTCGGTGATTGGCTGAGGAGGAAACGCATCGTCACTGGTAACCCTCGCTGCCAGAGCCCTTACTTCCTGAAGGAGATCCCCATCCAGGACGTAGCTGTCCAGGACTTTGCGTGTGAAGATGGTGAGACGGCACACGGTTATCTGCAACATCTGCAGCTCTGACACATTCTTTATTAGTTATTCATCCAAACCTTTCATTTTTCTTTTCCATCTGTTCATTCGTCCTCACCAGGTAACGATGAGAACAGCTGTTCTCCGGTGCTGAGGTGTCCAGCAGAGTGCTCCTGTCTGGACACTGTGGTGCGCTGCAGCAACAAGGGTCTCAGCATGCTGCCCAAAGGCCTCCCCAAAGAGACCACTGAGCTGTGAGTTTAGGACCAACACAACACGTATCACAAACTGGTTTAACAATCATAGAAAGGCTCGCATATGAGATGCGGCCTCACTGTAGCTCAGATTGGACATTTTATTTCTGTCCTGTGAAAACAATACGTCTCAGTGCTGGTGGTGGTGTTTCACTGTCTCCTGTGGGGAATGTGATCCTGCCCATATTAACAAAGTCTTAATTAATGTGCAGGATAATTAGAGGAATGTCACAAAGTGAAGTAGAAACAATTGTCATTCATGCATGTGTGTATGTGTGTGTATTTGTGTGTCTATCTATCTTTGTGACTATTAGAGCAAACAGAGCGAGGACATTTTTTGGAAAGTGAGGACCTTTTGGTCGGTTCTCACGATGTCAATGGGCCATTTGAAGATCAAGACTTGATTTCAGGGTTAAGCTTGAAATTGTGAGGGTTGGGTTTAGGCGATTAGTTGTAATGGTTATATAGGCAATATTTACTGCTAGATTTATGACATCGTGAGGCAGCGTGGAATCATGGGTGTTGGTGTCTTCCTTACCATTACATAGAAAATTCTACCTGATGCAACTCAGGCTCAAATCATGTTCACAGATGAGGTTTTGTATTAGAGTTTTATTCAAGTTACACAGAAAATAGCAATAAATGATCATGATCATCACTGGCTAGCAGAGTGTTTTTCCCGCGTCATGCGTCATTTGCCCCAGAAGTTACAGCAGAGCTGGACGAAGCTAGTAAACAGTAAAGCTGATTTGACAATTAAGAGACGACCAAAAAGAAATCACCCGTTACCTTGAATAAAATTGGAGATTTCTTAAATCTAGTTGTGTTTTGACATTTTAATAAAGAACTATAACATATTATTCCTTAAAGGTTGGAGTAAGTGGCGAGGGAATGTATTATGTCCCCACAGAGATAGAAGTATGTGTGTGTGTGTGCATGCATGTGTGGCTGTACTGTATTAGGATGCCAGTGGGGATATTAAACTCCAGTGTTTATTATGGCTCGAGCCGTAATGACTGCTCACACTGCTGGAGATGAGGAATTTCCCACATGGTTAAATAACTTAATTTTCTCCCTTCTCATTTTCTCTTTTTCTCTCTCTCTCTCTTTCTTTTTCCAATCCTCCTCACATCGTCCACATTTTTATTTATTTATCTCCCCTCTGTTTTCCACACCGCCTCTCACTCTGTGCCCTACTCCCTCTCCCTCCGTCACTCAGGTACCTGGATGGTAACCACTTCACTCAGGTTCCTGCGGAGCTCTCTGAATACAAACACCTAACGTTGATGTAAGTCTCACCCACAGAGGACAGACAGCCCACACGTACACTCACACATCCAGAATCACACAGTTATGATGAAATCGTGACTTGGCCTGTTTCCTGCTCTCTGCTCTTATGAAGACTGACACTAACTGTCAGTCAGTGCTCAGTTTTGATTTAACCTGTTTGACCCTGATGTGGGTGTGATATTGGACTAAAGAAGAATATTAAGCACTGCACATTGTCTTTGTATGTGTGTGCGTTTGTTTATGCATGTGTGTTTTATGTATCAATTATTGTTTCCTTTTCAGTGACTTGAGTAACAACCAGATCAGCACATTGTCCAACCACAGCCTCAGTAACATGTCCGAGCTGCTTACCCTGTGAGTCTGGCTTTATCAGTCCCTTTGCAAAGTGTGTGTGTGTGATATTGTCATAGTCTGTGTAATTTACTAATAAACAAGACAAAGATGCCCTCAATCATATAAGAAATTGAAGTAGAATGGCACTCAGTACAATGATTATCAAGAAACCATGAAATATTCCTGGGAAATCAATGAAATTGTTGAAAAACAGTCACAATAATAAATAAGTTAAAAAACAAATCCTTGATCCACATTAAAATTGCTGGGTTCTTTCCTGACCCATACTACATCCTTCCACCAAGTTTTGTGGTAATCTGTCCTTAAGCTTTTGTGAAATTCTGCTAAGTAAACAGACAAAAACAAAACAAGACATAAACATGGTTGAGGTAATCAGGACTTCTTTAGCACCATATTTATTTTACCAAAGGACCAACTTTTTTTGGTGACTGGGGCTAAAAAAGAATGCCTGCGCAACATGAATTTGTTTGTGCTTGTAAGAGATGCATATGTTTACTGTGTGTGTGTGTGTGTGTGTGTTTCTGAATGGATAAATGCATTTGTTCCAGCAAGTGTGTTAAATTGTGAGTCTGTTAGCTCGACTGCTTTGCTCAGTGGAGTCATAAAACAGGATTGTGATATGAAATAGCTTGCTGCATTGAAAAAGGATTTCTGCATTTGTCTCCATGCCAACATGCTTGTTCTGTATGTAAAGAATCCTCAGCTACAACCGTCTGCGGTGTATCCCTGTGAGAGCGTTCGATGGACTCAAGTCTCTACGTCTGCTGTGAGTATCTGTCCTGATGCCACACAGGCGACCACTGATGAACATCGTACAGACTAATGCTGAAGAAACGATCCAGACTCTATGTTTCTGATCACTTTTCATTTCCTCTTCATCCTCTTACCTCGACATAGGTCTCTCCATGGTAATGACATATCACTGATACCAGAGGGAGCCTTCAAAGATCTGTCATCACTTTCCCACTTGTGAGTAATGTAAAAACACTCTCATCACTCTTCTTGTCTTATTTTGATTTGAGTGTCTACCTCTCTACGTGCCGTAGCATTGCAAAACAATATCACAAGAGTTTCTGTCATCCTCTGAATGAAAAATGAAATGAAAAAAATCTGTTCAGTGATGCTTGTTAGTAAATGAATCAATCAAAAAATGTAGCTGATCATCTAAACCCGCTCCTTCTCTCTGTTCCCTTCATTCAGAGCAGTTTACACCTGGATGCCTCTCTTTTGTCTATTGGCAATTTGCTATGGAAATTAAATTGTGGTGTGGGTGTATGTTTCCCAGTCATTGCAGCTACAACAGTAAAACAGTCTTTGGAGACTTTTACTTTTCTAGATAATGGATTTTGGGATTTTGAAGAAAATTTGCTAAATTGATTGTTCTGCAAAAATGGGTTTACACCACCAAATAGAGACTGAAGCCAATATTATATAGAACAACATTCAGATAAGCAATGAACACGGGAGACATGGTCCAAACTTAGAGGGGCACTCAGTACATATCTTCACCAAGGCCCAAAAGTCTCCATATGAGACCATATTAAAGTCAATGGATGCAGATGTTTAGTTATCATTCCACTAAACATCACATTCTCATCGACCAAGGAAATGAAGACCTAAAATTATTTGTTTCATACAATATTACCTATTTCCAAGCAGTGTGAGAGGAGAGTGTTACATACTGGAGGGAACAAAGTGAGGGAATAGTTGTCTCTGCCTGGAGGCGCTCCCCAGGATCAGCACCATGGATAGAGCCTGTGACAGGCTGCTGCTTTTTGATCCAAACTGCAGACGACAGAAAATGAGTCTATTACTTTAATGTCTATTTCAAGCCTGCAATTGTCTCTAACTTCCCTCTTGACCACTTTAATAGTTCAGTTAGAGACACTTACACAAAGGAACTGTCGTTTATCAAAAATGGTCCTACAGTTAGATTCAACTCCGTGGGGGAGTTCTGACAGAATCCAAGCAGCAATTTGTCACAGATCAAACCGACAGGTGGAGAATCAGATGACCAGGAAACGCTGAGGTTACTGCAGGCGGGTTGGAGGGGCGGGATCTGAAATGAGAGGGCAGTTTGTGAAAATGGCAAAGGGTAATGAATAACTGAGGGCAAAACACTAATGGACTGTGACAGAGTGATGATTCTGCTGTGAGAGCTATAGTCCCCCATCATGAGTACATACACGAAATATAAAGTGTAACTGTGCACCAGTGAACATGTAACACTAGGCAGATAAGGCAGAGGTTGGAGTGGAAGACAAAAGATTTAGCAAAGAAACCAGCAGAAACTAAAACTGGCTACACCTGCATGCATGATGTGACTGCTAATTAGTAGCAAACTAGCTAATGGATCAGCCAATCAAAGTATCAAAGTAGCCAAGCATGAATGAATCACCTAGAGAAAAAACGTTCCATTAAAATTCCTCTGCGCCGGCGATAGCCAGCGACCACATTCTGTGGGAATTTCTTCAAATTTGGTTAAAAATAATAATATAATATATAAAAATATTCACATTGACTCAAAGATGATGAACTGGTTAGATTTGGGTGGTCAAAGTTCAAAGGTCACAGAACATGTTTTTTTGTCCTCCTGAACATGATATCTTAATTCTGCTGGAATTTCTTCACATTTTGAACAGAATCAAAAATGATCTGATTAAATTTCGGTGGTCAAAGGTCATGGTGGTCTCATATGAGTCTGGAAAAAAATGTACGTAGACCGAAACTGCACTGTTGGCGGAGGCATAGAACTGTAGGGTGCTAATTCTAGTTTATACTCCTCTTAGACTTAGAGTTAGGAGACATCGAGCATCTGCACTAACATTCATTTTGACAGTGAAGTAACACAGTTCATGTGACGTGTTTAAAGTCCTGTCAGCGTGAGACACATGATCATTACAATCACAGCTATTTGTTGTGGAAATAAACCACAGCTTCACATTTATCTCGTCAGTGATGTGTAGTTCAGTCTGGCAGTATTTAGACACATTTTCTCTTCTTTGTGGCTCAGTTCTCCAGCTCAGTTGATCTGAAAAGAAACAGTGACACATGCAGATTTTCCCAGTGAAGTCTGTTTATATGTCTAAACATTGTTCTCACTCTGCTGTGGCTGACAGGGCTCTTGGTGCCAACCCTCTGTACTGTGACTGCCACATGCAGTGGCTGTCAGACTGGGTGAAGAGCGGCTACAAGGAGCCTGGCATCGCCCGCTGTGCCGGGCCTGGGGACATGACCGACAAACTGCTGCTCACCACGCCGTCCAAGAAGTTCACCTGCACAGGTAAACACAGGCTGTCACATGCTTATAGAAGTGAAATAACCCAGGAGCAAATGCCAACATATTGATGCACACTTTCACATGAAGTGTAAATATGCATTTTATTATTTGTCCAAAACCATAAGAATACACTCACAGCACACAGGTATTATTCTATTATTATTATATATATAAAATATAAATATACATTTATGTATCATATGAATATGAGGACATTTGATAAGGACTCCAAATGGAGTTACCACTGTCCAATGAAAACCATGTATTCTATTTTTATGGAAAAAAGGAAAATCATCTTGTTCTAATATTTGAAGTAAATAAATTGCAGTATGAACTACAATAAATTGAATAAAATGTATATCTAACAATTTCTAAAATTTCTTGTTAGCATGATCTTGGCTGTTACACACTGCTACTAACTTTCTACCTTATTATGTCACATTAACCATGAACACATGACTAAAACCTATTTTTGACCTAATCTAACTGACACACTAGAAGTCCCGGGGCCTTGTGGTTTACTGGTGCCAGGTAAAGTAGCCACTCATATCCCAGTACTTCCTCCTCGGTCTCTCCTGACGCTCCCCACCCGGTGTTCCTCCTTTTTTAAACCCTGATCAGACTGAACCGCTCTCTTCTTCCCTTTTTAGCCCTCGTGTTCTCACCGGCATTGTTTGTCCCGACTGTTAAATGTTGATGTTTTGTAATAAGACCCGGGATATGTCTGTCTTCTGTACGTATCATGGTCCTGCTATAGACAATCTGTTATTTTTCTCATTTATAACCTAGTAACATACCTGCAACTCTTTCTTCTAAAAGCATTATCTCACCTCATATTATAGTCAAGGTAATAATATACTATAGTATAATGTTATATTGAAAAAATGCATTCAAATGTATTATATAATTCAAATGGAAACGTCAAAAAACAACACAAAATACGAATTATTCTTAAAAAAGTTGACATTTGGAAAAAAATAATTTAAGCAGGTCCCTGAAAGTGTACAGTCGTCTCAGTGTATTATTGAACCTGTCTATTCTGACTCGTCAGAGTATGTAACACTTAGGTCTCTCTGTTTGTTGTGTGTGTTGTGTGTGTTTTGTTTGTGTGTGTGTGTGTGTGTGTATGTGTATGTGTATGTGTATGTGTATGTGTATGTGTATGTGTATGTGTGTGTGTGTGTGTGTGCGTGTGTGTGTGTGTGTGTTTGGGTTGGTGTGTTTCCATCACACAGGTCCAGTAGACATGAGTATCCAGGCTAAGTGTGAGCCCTGCCTGTCCAACCCCTGCAAGAACGACGGCACCTGCTCCAATGACCCTGTGCACTATTACCGCTGCACCTGCCCCTATGGATTCAAGGTGCAAACACCAGATGGAAATGGAAAACCAAACATTGTTGTATTCACTTGCTCAAGCGTCTTTCCTAATCATGAGTGTTCTGTGTAACGTCTGCCTGCTTTTACACCAATCTATGGATAGGACCCTTTTTGGCATTTCAAAACCATACACTGTGCAAACTTAAACACAAACGATGCACATACTTGGAATTTATGATAATAAGCTATTGTTGCACTTTAAAAGCACTAAAAAGTGTGTGTGTGCGTTTGTGTGTCTGTTTGGTTTTTTGTGTACGTAGGGCCCAAACTGTGAGGAGCCCATTCACGCCTGCATTGGTAACCCCTGCCAGAACGGTGGAACCTGCCATCTGAAGGAAGGAGAAGGGAGTAACTTTTGGTGAGAAACCTTGTTAGAATTTATTATCAGAAAATCTCCAGTTCAAACTGGGGGAAGGAAGTAAGACATGAGCATGACTATATGGTGACAATATGGTGAATCATGTAAAAGACATGAGAGAGCAGGTATCGATATCAATAAACCTGTAGCACTGGAGAACACAGTTACAGACATATTGTAGCATATGACCTCTGGACCTTCAGCAAATAACTCCATCAGTGATGCTGCCCCTCTAATGACAGATGGGGGTGAATTTACAGGAGGTAAATTGCTCATCGGACCAGTTTTGTCTTCAGTCTTTCTCCTCCTGCTGTGAGAATCACCTTCTCTTCATTAGGCTGCTTAGTTCTGACTGGAGGGAAGCTAATGCCTGTCTGCTCTCTCCGAGCAGATTTCTACCTCCTACACAGACATTTAGATTGGGCCAAGAGCACAGCTCCTCTTGTTTCTCTCTCTCTGTCTCTTCTGTTACTTTTTTCATTTCAGTCTTTCTCTGTATTTTCTGTATTTCCATCTTAATTCATTTTCTTTTCCTTCTCTGGTTTGGAGGGTGAAATATTCAACGTGACGAACTGTCGCTGACTATATAATGAGATATTCATCTTCTTGACTGTGTGCCGCATAAGAGCTCTTTATTAGACTCATAATATACCACTCTGTGTGTGTTGGTGTAGAGTCATTAACCTGAGTGCAAGTTACAGAGTATAGACACGTTCACGTTAACAGAATAATGCAGGGTTCTGTATGTCGCTCTGCATGCATTTGATTTATCCATTGTGTGTGTTTGTCACTGTGTATTTACAGGTGTGTGTGTCCAGAGGGCTTCGAAGGCGATGCTTGTGAGATCAACATCGATGACTGTGAAGACAACGACTGTGAGAACAACTCCACCTGTGTTGATGGAATCAACAACTACACATGCATGTGCTCCCCAGAATACACAGGTAACACATGTAGAGTTATGCAGTGGGAGGTGTAACCAGCAAAGTGTTTCTCTCTGTCCCATATTCACATTTCATTTGCTCCTTTAAACAATATCCTCAATGTTACTTCACACAGAAATTAGATAATACAGCCACCCTGCAGATTGTCATCTTAATTTCTCACAATTCATATTTTGTCATGTTGGTCGGTGGATGGGTCTTAATAGTCAAGATTAGTTTCAGAGCACAGTTAAAAGATGAAATAGTTTTAAAAGTTTTAAAAATTAAATTAAATTGCAACTAACCAGCGTCTGTTTCCATGGAGATGAAGCCAGTAAGAGGTGGTAATCTGGCTGCAGCAAATTCAAAATAATTAGTCTGAGAATAAAAGAGGCTCCGATGTCACTGAATTCATCCTATGTTGCCCCCATAATTAGTTGATTCTCTTAAGATCCACTTTTTGGAATAAGCAAATTACATGTACAGTAATATTAATCTATTAATTTATTTCATTTTAAAAGGTTTATTTATACAATGTTATTGTCATTTTAAAAGTATCCAGTAATCCAATCCCACTTGACTCCCTAAAAGTAATCAATGACGCCTTGGGACACTCAAAACTCCAAGACATCATGTTCTCCACCAACCCCTCAGATATACATATAATTCCAAGCCATTTAATTTTTTTAATATCAAGAAGCATTTGAAGATATTTTCTAATGCAAACATTATTTTTTATATAGAAGTGCCCTTGCTCTGAGCCACTTCTCTATAGGACAAATGAATGGAACTTTACTTCCTCTCTCTCTCTGCAGCTCTGTTAGGTCCCGTGAATCGTACATACACAGATAGAGAAAATGATCATGTGTTTTCTGACTAACGCTGGCCTGTTGCTACTTGTTTGTCTGCTTTTGCACTGTGCTAATCATCTCTGACAGCTAACCTTTGTGGCGGTGTTCTCTCTCTCTCTCTCTCTGTCTCTCGCTGTCTTGTGTTTTTTTCCTGTCTCGCTCTGCTTTCGATCATCTATCTTCGTGTGTGTGTGTGTTTTCTGTGGTTGCAGCTGCTACCAATGAGGTGGAGAGAGGTTAGTCTGTTCTTCTCTCTGTCCCTCCTGTCCCTCTCTCTCTCCTTCTTTCCTTCCATCCTTCCTTGGTTTCCTTCCTTCCCTCATTTCCTGTGCTTTATCCACGCTCCTCAGAAATGTGACACCACCACAGAGTTAACCTACTGTATGCAGTCACGCTCCATGTTAGCTGTGCATGTCCATGATGTTCAGACAGACCGCTGAGTTTTCATGCTCTCAGATATCTGTGGTTATTCTGCTTGCTTCTTTATGTACACATGTCACTACCATACTAAATTGTTTGGTATGTTCCAGGTAAACAATTTGGTAAGAGGAGAAGACTGATGATATTCTATATTCTTGTTATTGTCTCATGAACAAAACAAAACCAGCAACGTGTTGTTTCAATAATTTCCAGTTTCCACAGCCTGTTTGTGGAACTCAGCCCCAAATGACTAACATTTTTAACTAAGCTTGAATTTGGAAAATAAAAGAAACTAAAATGGGACTCAACCCAATAGTCCCCTTAAATTCAATCAAGCTGCACCAAATTACAGACACTCATAAGTATCAGTGCTTTAATATGGCAGATGTTTTTCTATAAGATCCATTAATTACTCCCTGGGAATTGGTTAAAAAAAGAGAAAAGAAAGTGATTCAAACATTTCTTGATCTGCGCATTTGTCCGAATTAAAGCCAAAATTTAAAGGGATTCTTCTTTCGGCCACGTCCAATCCTTCCACCTAGTTTGAAGAAAATCGGTTTGGCAGTTTTTTCATATTCCTGCCGACAGACATAAATAACCTATAAATAACCTCTGTGGCAGAGGTAAAAGCAAAGTAATCTGATAACCTCAGTTAAAGAAATACAAAAATGATTGATCCCTTCACCAAGTTTTGTGGAAATGTGTTTATAATAATCCTGCTTAAAGATAAACCAACTAGAATGGCACTCAGTAGAGCATTTACCTCTGCGAATGCTGAACAGTTTCATTAAATTCAATCAAGCTGCACCTTTTATACACTCACAGATACTAGTTCTGTACATGTGAACTATGATTTATTATTTTTAAAAACGAGCACTGTCCTGGCAGTGAATTAACATGTCATATTGCAGCAGTGTTGCTCATGCAAATCACAAATTTGAACTTGTTTGTTGTGGACCGAGAAACAAGCAGTCACAGTCATCCGTTCTCTTAATGGCTGCAGTTATGTCTTTATTAAAGCCATTTAAAGGTGCAGTCAACATTTCTAAATCCAATAAACTGGGTGAAAGAAGACGCCTTCTGTTCAATTACAAACTATATTAGGATTAGACTTTATTAAGACTTTATTAGGTCTAATCTTCCTCTGAATAAAGTAGCACAGTAACTACTGAGATAGAGGATCCGGAGCATAAAAATGCAAACACATCTCTCATCGTCTGCTCACACGTTCACATTCGATCACGTAATTATTTGCAGTCAACTCGTAATGTCAGGAGTTTTGGTTTATTCCCCGGTGCCTCATCAGTGCTTCATTTGGAGTTCAGAGTTTCAGCAGCATCACGATACACTTGGGACTATCGTCAGGACTATGACATTCCCAGAGATGGGATCATTTATCAGACCGCTGTGTTGGTTCTGGCCACAAGAGAGTCATTTATCATCAAAGTACACACCCATACAGCACACTGCTGTACAAGCAGTGCAGACACATACAGCACTAAGCAGAAACACACTGTGAGGGAGTTGGGAAACATTGAGATGTTTTATATTATAATTTCTCTCATTAATGCTGATGGTATGCACAGTAATGAAAAGGTGTCTGGATGATTTGTTTATGTGTCTCTGCACTTTGTGTGTGTTCCCAGGGGAGCTGTGTGAAGAGAAACTGGATTTCTGTGCTCCGGAGCTGAACCCGTGTCAGCACGACTCAAAGTGCATTTTGAGCCCACAGGGATACAAGTAAGTGGGCTACGCACACACACACACACACACACACACACACACACACACACACACACACACACACACAGACACACTCTTATGAATACGGCATGAAGACATGTGTCCAATTGGAGAGTTGATGGAGTGAAGTTGATGGTGTGTGTGTGTGTGTGTGTGTGTGTGTGAGTGTGTGTGTGTGTGAGTGTGTGTGTGTGTGTGTGTGTTCATCAGGCAATCAGGCTTTTTCAAACATAATGTCTATATGTCTATTTTATATTTGGATGGATGGAGGGATGGATGAATAGATTTATAGATAGATAGATAGACTGTGGATTAAAGATCAATACCAACAAGCATTTCTCTCTGTATGTGTGTGTGTGTCTGTTTGTGTGTACTGTAGATGTGAGTGCACTCCAGGTTACGTAGGTGAGCACTGTGAGCTGGATTTTGACGACTGTGAAGAGAACAAGTGTCAGAACGGAGGTCAGTGCATTGATGCCGTCAACGGATACACCTGCATCTGTCCAGAGGGATACAGGTGAGGGACACATCTCAATTCACACTCAATCACATGTTTGCTACATGATAATTATGTTGCATGACTGACTTAATGATACTTACTTTTTATTATTTCTAAAATATTCTATTAGATGGTCGGGGAATATTTTTCATATATAGATATTGTATTTTTGTATGACAAAAAGTTAAATGATACATTGCTATACACCATGCTGTACATCTTTATAGTGTTTGGTGTTGGATGGTCTCCCCCTTGTGTATATTGCCTGTTACTGCAATGAATACTTTCTCTAACTTGTGGTAAACTGTGGTACTTGTGGGAGAAGGAACTACTTAAAATAAAACTTTTAATGTGCTTGTTACACTATTCAAAAATCACAAAAACACATTGTTTATACAAAGAGGGGACAATGAAATTTAGAATAAGAAAAGAGTGAAATAAAGCATAATTTCAAAGACACAAAATTCCAGTTTACTTTTAATTTTCTCGAAGTCCACAGGCAGTACAATGAAGTTGTTAAAAGGTAATAGTTTTGAGTAGGGTTAGGGTTAATGTAAGGGTTAGGGTAAGGGTTCATGTTAGGGTTCATATTAGGGTCAGGGTTGTGATTAGGGTTAGGGATGAATACCCATTGGAAATCAAGATATTCTTCAATAACTTATTTTCTGAAGGTCATAGAGACTTGGAAGTTGGTTTCATGTCCACTAATGTGGATATGCCCGATCCATTGGTACCACCCCCGAGCTACTACGACCTTTGGAAGAAGTGAAACCACTGAATCTGAAAAAAAAATTACAAGATATTTTTGAATAACTTTTTTTCTGAACGTCATAGAAATTTGGGCATTTCAGGATTAATGAAGGGTAGCCTGTCACACAACCACACCGAATTTCAGCATGTTTCGAGGAAGCAGTGCAGAGTTATTCACCCTATGGTGAATATGGGTTAGGGTTGTAATTAGGGTTAGGGTTGCAATGAGGGTTAGGGTTAGGGTTGTGATTAGGGTTAGGGTTAGGGATGAAAACCCACTGGAGATCAAGATATTCTTCAATAACTTTTTTTCTGAAGGTCATAGAGATTTGGAAGTTGGTTCCATCTCCACTAATGTGGGTATGCCCGATCCATTGGTACCACCCCCGAGCTACTACGACCTTTGGAAGTGGTGAAACCACTGAATCTGAAAACAAAATTACAAGATATTTTTGAATAACTTTTTTTCTGAACGTCATAGAAACTTGGGCATTTCAGGATTGATGAAGGGTAGTCTGTCACACAACCACACCGAATTTCAGCATGTTTCGAGGAAGCAGTGCAGAGTTATTCACCCTATGGTGAATATGGGTTAGGGTTGC